TCAGCCCTTTTCCCTGGAGGAGGAGGAGCCCCTCCCTCCCCCGACTTCAGACCCAGAACCAAACCCAGAAGGCTCTGACCCAGAACCAAACCCAGAAGGCTCTGACCCAGAACCAAACCCAGAGGGCTCTGACCCAGAACCAAACCCAGAACCAAACCCAGAAGGCTCTGACCCAGAACCAAACCCAGAACCAAACCCAGAAGGCTCTGACCCAGAACCAAACCCAGAACCAAACCCAGAAGGCTCCAGCCAACCAGAGAAAATGGACTCCGCCCCCCCCACAGACCTGATGGAAACGGAGCCCCTGGAGGAAAACTCCAGCAAAACGCAAGAGGTCAGTTAGCTAAAGCTAACCCAGCTGTATGATACCGTTAGCTAAAGCTAACCCAACTGGCAAGCTGTATGATAACGTTAGCTAAAGCTAACCCAGCTGTATGATAACGTTAGCTAAAGCTAACCCAGCTTTATGATACCGTTAGCTAAAGCTAACCCAGCTGGCTAGCTGTATGATAACGTTAGTTAAAGTTAACCCAGCTGGCTAGCTGTATGATAACGTTAGCTAAAGCTAACCCAGCTGGCTAGCTGTATGATAACGTTAGCTAAAGCTAACCTAGCTTCAGTTACAGTTGGTTTGGTTAAACGTTAGCATCATGGATCATTACTAGCTAAGATCATTTAACTCATTGACTGGCAGCCATTTTCAGAACAGAGTCCCATACTGCCAGAGTTTTTTTAGCATTTTGACTGATTTTTCAAGAGCCACAGAATAGTTTGTGCTATGACTATGTAAACACCGAACACACCAAAAGAAAGAGTAGACTCTCTTCTTTCATCAGGAAAAAAAATGTGTTTCTACCTTATTCCGTTCTTCCTGGACTTGCGTCTCACCGGCGACATGTTCTCTCATAGAACCGTTCCCTTTTTCTTATTTGCCTACAGTCTATGCTCATCTCCCATCAAAAGTGGCACTGCCCCCTAGAGGGTCAAGAAAACAAAACAGAAATAAAACAATAACATTAATTTGATGTTCACTGACTGTCTCAAATTGGCTCTAATAGCTGTCACATCACAGTACATTTCAGAATAATCCTCCTTTCAGTTTGACCAGTATATCTTCTGTCAGATCTGGATTGTTCACAGATGTACCTTATTTATTTCTTTATTTCTTTATTTCTTTATTTCTTTATTTCTTTATTTATTTATTCCCCCTCAGGTTCTCCTCTTGGATCTTCCGGCTCCGGCTGTCCACCCTCAAGAAAAGCTGCTCATAGACCTGACCAACACCCCCGACCTGATCCGAACCAATAACAAGAACTGCTCCACCAATCAGGTACCAGACATCCATTATTTGGTCTTTTGTCCAATAATGTTGTTTTCAGATAGTTTGGTTTTAGCTAATATTCAACACAGGCATTCTAAGATGCACGTTTAACACTTTTAACATGCATGTTTTAAATGAGTATTTAATATCTAGTATTCTAGTGCTTTTTAGTACTTATATGTTGTGCGTAATGTCTTAAGCTGCTAGTCTATTCATCATCCATCCATCCATCCATCCAAAGTTTTGCTGATAGTTTTTAAATCCTGATATGGACTTACACCACAATATTTAACTGAACTGGAATAGCCTGCCTTATAATATAAGATAGGCCCAGACCGTAGAGGGGTTCAAGTCCTCTTTAACCCTTTAAAGCCTGATCCAAGTATAAAACAAAACAGAAAATTACTTTTTTTTGTTTGAATTCCTTATTTGGCCATTGAACAAAATATGTAAAAAGAAAAAACAGAAATACATTTTTAATATTAATAATTTATTACTATGCGATAAGTCCAGATTATTTTTTGTGTATCTTCTGCCCCCTGTTATCAGGTGTATCTGATTGTGTTCAATAGGATTTAGAGCAAAAGTTTTTACCATTAAATTATGCAAAAGGAGTCAGACACAAAACATTTCAGAAACCTTATGAATGATAAATTTGGCATTCCAGGGTTAAAAACTCATTTATTTGACATGGCTTTTACCATTTTAACCTTAGGTTGAGGCCGAGCACCGTTTTACCTCTTTATTTTACTTTAAATTGACATATATGCATGTGAATTCTTAATTTTTTTTAATTGATTTATTTGACCTTTTTACCTCTTTATTTTACATTCAAATTACACGTATGTAAATTCTTAATTTTTTTTAATTGATTTATTAACTTTTTAACTCTTTTTTGTTTTACATTAAAATTACATATATGTATGTTAATTCTTAATTTTTTTAAATTGATTTATTTACCTTTTTACCTCTTTATTTTACATTAGAATTAAACCTATGTATGTAAATTCTTAATTTTTTTTAATTGATTTATTTTACCTTTTTACCTCTTTATTTTACATTAAAATTACATATATATGTGTAAATTCTTAATGTTTTTTAATTGATTTATTTAACCTTTTTACCTCTTTATTTTACATTAAAATCATATTTTGTATGTAAATTATGTTAGCTTTTTATGTTTATTTTTACCTGTACAGCACTTTGGCAACTTTGGTTATTTTAAATGTGCTCTATAAATAAAATTTCACTTGATTTGGAGCCTGGTGCATGTCCACTAGAGGCCAGTTTTAGTTATTTAGTTATTAGTTATTAGTTAGTCGGGTTTCTCCCTTCTGCTGCCAGCTTTCCTAATCTAAAGGGAACTTCTAACCTGAGAACTGTTTTCATTAAAAACTGAACTATTTGTTTTGTTTTTTCCAGTTGATCGACTTGACTTCCCCTCTTATAAAATGGAGTCCGGAGGATAAACGTGAGAACAACGCCCCCCTCATCAACCTCTCCTTTTAGTCCCAAACCTGTTATGTCCCATATCTGTGTCCTAATTGATTTAATGATTAACCGGTTAAGGTTGTATTGGAGTAGTATTATGTTTTAAGTAAAAATAATCGGAGGTTGCGTTGGTGTTTTAATTTAATTTGTATTATTTTTGGCACCTGATTGTAATTCGATTTGCTGCTTTTATTTTCTGAATAAATGTTGTTCGTGTTACGTTTGCAGAGATTTAGGCTTTTTTGTGGAAGTGCTCCTCACTGTAGTCTGTAAACTATGTCAAAGACAATTCTTTTGACTGTAGACAAGAAATCTGAAAGGAGAGAGTGGATGATGCTATTGTCTTTTTTTTAAAAACTTTTCTTTGTTGACAGTGACAAGGTTTGAAAAAAAAAAAAGGAGAGGAAATAACAGAAACAAACACACACACGCAACATAAATAAAACCATCTACTGTCCGGACATATATCCATATGTGGTTATACATCCATACAGTGGTGGAAATAAGTATTTGAGCCCTTGCTGATTTAGCAGGTTTGCCCACTTACAAAGAATGCTTATTTTTCCTCATCAGATGGATATCAATTTTTATAAATTCATATGATGTGATTTTCTGGAATTTTCTTTGGGATTCTGTCTTTCACTGTTAGAATGTACATATGATTAAAGTTATAGATCGTTGCATTCTTTGTAAGTGGGCAAACCTGCAAAATCAGCAAGGGCTCAGATACTTATTTCCCCCACTGTAACCATCCATCCATTCATTATCATCACCTCTTATTCCCTAATGGGGTCGTAGGGGGGGCGGAGCCTATCCCAGTAGCCAATGGGGAGAGACACAGAGACACACAAGGACCAACTTTGAAGTTCGTTACAGAAGCCCAACAATTCCCACCAAGAGCAAGCACTAGGCGACACGGGCAAGGAAAAACCTGCTTGTGCCTTTGCCAAGGATGAGGAGAGGAGTGGAGCAGGTGAGTTTGATCAGATTTGAGGCAGGAAACAGATGCAGAGAAGTGGTACAAAAAGGTTTCATTGAACAAAAAACGGACTCAAAAGGAGTGGAAACAAAGTACCAAATAAAGTTAACAAGACTATGAACAAAGTATAAAGTCAAAATCTCTTGTGACCGAAGCAAAAACAAGACAAAAGTACAGAATAAACTCACTCCGAAAAGAGGACCAAAAGTTACAAAGTATTAGGACCTGGCCTGTTCGTGCCCAGAGGTAACTGGCCAATAGGACTTGGTTGTGTCCAGTCCTCCTTTGAGGAGGCGGATGGAGCCCAGGAGATAATGCCCATCACCCAGATCTCAGGGCTCTAACCCACTGAGACCCAGAGAGAGGTTTTAGTCTGTCAGAGCCCACTGATACACTTAACTGTGTCCAATAAATGTCATTTTTATACTTTTGATCCACTCTGGTTTGTTCTCAGGTTCCAACTTGTTAGCCCGATTCTTTAGTTAGCCAAATTCTAACAGGGTAAATGTGTTTGAGCTTCATGGATTTGTTTGAATTTGGCTATAATTACTCACTTTAGCATCGTATGCTAGCACATAATCCATGTAAATAGCTGATGGTCTTATTCCTTTT